GCAGGGCAGCGGTGGCTGACCCTCGGGGAGGGAGGTTAGCAGAGAGCCTCCAGCGCAGTGCCTTAGGAGCCTGCCGCAGCACAGCTCTGAGGTCACACTCTGCCCAGGCTGCCCATGGCCTGTGACTGAGAACGGCGGAGGTGTTGGCACCTGGTCCACTCTGCCCAACGTGGACCTCCTCTACGAGAAATCTTGGTGCCAGAGGTCCTCACTGGGTTGGCCAAGGCTTCCCTCAAGCTGCAACACTGTCTGAGGCTCTTCATACCCAGTCCTCCCTCCTTCCCCTCCTCTCACAGGTGCCAGAGCAGCACTGGGGCTGGAGGCGCTCCTCGCCTGCTCCTGTTCCCCTTCCCCTTTATCTTCCACAAGGGTTACCTCCAAAACATAACTTGTACATTTAATTTCATATTGGAGTTTGCTGACAGGACAATTCCTAAACTGATGCATTAATACAAACTCCAGAATAGAACTGTCATTATTTTAAAAGTAAAGGAAAATGAAAGACATAAATGTATATCTTTACAAATGCAAGCTATTTATATTACAACTTACCTTGTTTAAGAGTCCTACTTGGAAGCCAGCAAATTCTTTGGTATTCAATTCTGTCAGTCTCAGTGCAGTTTCTCCTGTGATTTCTTTCAATAGTTTTCTAAAATTTTTATTGTGAGTCAAGGACACACCACTTCCAGAATGATTTTTCACTCTGATTCCAATTTCCTGGGGAGATTTCTTCCCCACGGATGCTAGTATTCGTTCTGACTCTAGTTTGGTCTAAAATGAAAGTACATAGTATGTTATGAAAACATCTACATTATCACTGTCATTTTTACTACTTAAGAAAGATAATACCCACAGGACAATTTTCAATTGCGAATCACAGAAAAACAGAATATTAAATATTTTCCTGTGCTTCTCTTTCCTACCACAGCAAACAGAGAGGGGGCTGGAAAAACAAATAACTTCATATGTTGTTTCTCTTATCTAGTGTCAAAATTATGATTGAATCATGCAGAGAATGGGAACCATGGATAAGAATTACATTTACAGGCATTTAAGAGCACATTTTGTTACTGTGAAATCTAGTCTAAGTCAACATATCAATTTTGAACCTGGACATAAACGTCTAAGACTCTGAATTTATCCATACAGACTAATGTTACAGAGTTCAGATTACACAAATTAGCACTGTATCTGAAAAAAATGAAACTGTTTATTTCTAGTATTGGACTATCCAAAAAAGTTTTAGAAGGTACTTCATAGAGATTATCGAGTAAATAATTTGTAATGTATGCCCAATAAGTTTCTTACTAAGTTACAATGAAAAATCCTTTTAACAGACACTATTATACTATATTGATTGATATTACTTGAGAACGTATTATAACAATGAATTTGGTATATTGTGTGTTTTATATACATCTGAAATGGTTAAAGGAACACTGGCAACATAGACTTATTAAATTAGTAATTCGAGCTCTTAGAAATTAGTAATGATCTTTTCTTTTTCTCCAAAAGATGGAATTCCACCAATGTCCAGTGAGCCAAAATAATTTTGATTTCTTGTGGTTTGGTCACAGATGTTTATTAATTTTCCCTAACCACTAGAATCAAGTATATGCTTATTATCTCTAAAAAATTCTTGTGTCGTGAAATATGAGATAAGAGCAAATGAAAGGTCTATTTCCTTACATGGCCTTAAAAGCTCATTTGTAAAAACTATGCAAGCAATGTGCCCCAGAAGGTCTCAGAATCTGCATTACTTTCAACTCTGTTCACTATTCTTCCTTGTGGCAATCCCTGCTGACATAGCCTTAGAAGCCCAAGGGAAACATCAAATAAAAATAAAAATCAATAGCTCAATAAATAGATGGGTAAATAACCAAACCAAAACATTTACAACAAAACAAAAAATCTATTAGCAGAGAGGAAAAAGGGCTGGGGGGACACTTGGGAGGTCAGAAATCTGGGTGTCCCTTTACTTCCCCCCCCCCCCCCCCCGCATTTCTAAGCACACTGGACTGGTAGGAGCTGGTAAGCTCTAGATAAGACTTAAGCATTTGCCAGTTCCTTGCAAGGTGTGTCAGATCCCAATCTAGAGTTCATTTAGTTCTTTAGTGAAATCTGACACTTTCCTTCCTACTCTCTTTTCTAAAGGCCTAACTTCCAAACATGTCCAATTTGAAGTGCTGTAGTTACTGCAAATGCTACGACTGTTCTCTATAGGGGACTACTTCTGGGCCACGAGGGTGAAACTGCTGCAGTAACTGGTTAGATAACGAAACACATTTGCGTGGCAGCGAGGCTCTAGCTAGCTCAGTAGTTCTCACACAGTTCCGTCCTACAAGAATGGGCTAGGTAGAGGTGAGAAGTATGATAAGGAGGGGTGAGTGGAGGATGAGGTACTAATAGAGAGGGGCAGGCAGGGACAAGGTGAACAACAGTTAATGAGGTGGAGGTATAAAGGAATAGAGGGAGGGCAAGAAGAGAGGAGCCTGAACCCCACTCTTCAGGTCACCTGGGGGCCTATCACCCTCCAGCTTGGGGAATACTGGTCTCGTCTGCCCCTTCTCCAAGGAAAAGCATACGGCTATTTATCCCAGGGCTAGCACATGAATGTAAGTCCTTCATGTGCCCGAAGACTAATTTCAGGCAAGTCATTTGATCACACCATGCCTCATTGTGCTGACCTAACAAAGGGCGATGCTCTAGCCCGAAGTGATTTGAGAAGAAACTGCATTGAGGACAGATAGAGTGTGACCCATGACAGAATTCCACTAAGCCTCTGCCCCTCTTAGGCCACAGAAAATCAGCCAGCTTGTGGGTAGGACAAACTGGCAGGCAGAAGGAGAAATGGCAGAGCCTCAAATGATACTGACAGACCCTTAACTGCAGCTTAATGGTGAAGACAGAAG